TCACTATGAATGGTTTGGTTGAAATCATAAAATGAGTGAATTTATTCTTGAAGATACATGTAGTAGATTTTCTGAACAAATTCTGGAGAGTCTACAACTGTGGGGAAGTAACACTATGAACACCACAGTCACTCGTTCAGGATCTGATTGACACTGGAAACTGAGCTGACGTCTTTAGCTCCTTCAAGATAATACACAAACGAACTAGCTCAATTCTCCTCAAGTTGACTTTGATCATAACCGTCAAACACTATAAACCTGATTTATCTGTTTAAGAAGGAAGCAGGTATACGTAACTTCTATCTATCCCGGAAACCCTTCTTGACTGTTATTTGGTTCCATCATCCTTTATCAACCCCGGGTGGTTATTCCTTCACTTTTATTTACTATGTGTCAGTCGTGACCTGAACACCTTTGTGGTCAAATTTCTTACTTCAATACTGAACGACGCAGGCTAGAATCTTAGAGGAAAGACCAGTCTCTTTTGGTTACATATAAACCATGCTGATGAATGCCAACAAGTGCAAAATCCAAGTCGGGTAGGGCTTCCTGCTGATTGCCTCTCACCATTTAACACTTAAACGTGCACCATAGTGTCGCCCTGCCTTGCTATTGGGTAAATTGCAAGCCTTTATCGATAGACTTCTATGAGTGCAAAGCACCATGGACTAGATAGTTACATAGATTAGTCAAAGGTGAGCAAGTAGTTTAAAACTAACAGACAAACTCCACATAATACACAGACGAACAGAGTTCACGGCTCTTGCATATCAGTTGAATAGTCGTAGATTTTCTTAACACATTGACACTGGAAACTGAGCTGACGTCTTTAGCTCCTTCAAGATAATACACAAACGAACTAGCTCAATTCTCCTCAAGTTGACTTTGATCATAACCATCAAACACTATAAACCTGATTTGTCTGTTTAAGAAGGAAGCAGATATACGTAACTTCTGTCTATCCCGGAAACCCTTCTTGACTGTTATTTGGTTCCATCATCCTTAATCAACCTCAGATGGTTATTCCTTCACTTTTATTTACTATGCATCATCTTTTACTCGCACAGACTGTGCTCAACTAACTGAGCTTAGTTCACAGTATTTTAGGTATTTAGCGTACGACCTACTTACGTAATCTTAAAGTCCCTTAATATTTCACTTGCTACTCCTGTTTTTATTTTTATTTGAGAAACTTCTATTGAGTTGTGTGAATTATGATTATGGCAGTTTACTGTCATTTGTGAACCTTCTTCGAAGTTGACGTTATGACTGAACTCTACTGTATGACTACTTTTGTCAGTCTGTTGACCACCAACATATATTCTGTTATCTTTCAATGAATTGAAGTATATTACGTTTTCAGTAAAACTATATATATATATTCATATTCTAGGGGTTGCATGGGGTTGACAAGATACTGCTGAAATACAAAATGTATCCATTTTATACTGCTGCCTCGAAAAGTTTGCGAAAACGTCATGATTCCTTAATGTGTCACTTCCGGTCTTTTTTTAGAGGATACGATAGCTGAGTAATTTTCTTTCAATTATCCAACTCAGTGGTCTTAACAATTTGGCGCTGTGAACTGAATTTATACGGTTACACAGCTGATGAGTTAGCTTTGCCCCAGACCAGCAAAACAACTAGCCGGTGCCTAGATGACTTTGATCTCGCTGGAGAATATAGATCTACAGTGGTATGGATTATATACTTTTTACACGGGTATGCACGGTGTTCCCAACGTATCAGTGTATTTTTAAAGTTTTTTTTCAATGACTTTAAATAGGCTAACTTTTCAGGTTGACATCGCTGCAACCACCTTCTCTTGGTATATAACTCTGAGAAGTCAAATTAAGCAAGCAAAGTGGAGTTAACATGTGGTCATTAGGTAGCTCAGTTGATGAAGAGCTGAGCCAGTATCTTGAAGGTAGCTCACTGGTTCGTATAAATCCTGTCATGAACCAGGCTTTAAATCCACCTTCTAGCATCACTCTGTCAAACTGTGACTACCATAGATATTTAAACAATAAATGTCTGTTTGAGTTCAAATCAAGTGATCTTCATTGAAACATCCTACTTTTGAATGTGATAAAATCAGTTTCTCATCCCTTTTTCTCTCTTTTCTCCTCAGTATTGCGTTAAATTCCCACTTCTACTGAGAATAAAGTCATTGGTTGCGAGCTTACTGTGTAGGTGTTATTTTTTTATCATCGGAGAATTTGATTTGGGTTTTTTTGGAGGGGGGGTGTTATTGATTCAGAAGTTGGAAATATGGACCATTGAATTCCTAGCCAGTGGCTCAGGATTTATCTATAACGGAATGATTGGTTGATTGGATATTACTCAAATAGATTAATAAGTAGTAGGTTTTAAGTGGGATTCATTTTTCGATAGTGACCAGGACAACATTTCGGTAATTTCCTGTAATGTGTATGTAGATTTATTTATAGGATGAAAATACATCAAAACCAAATTCAGCGCAGAAGATGGTGAATTCGTTGCGTTTCATCGGCTTCTTTTCAACTTCATAAAGGCTATACAATCATAATACTTCACGAGAAGGTTCAAAGGTATACCATTTACAATTCTGATGCCTGTGTTAAGCTGACAGTGAATAGAAGCTTTGGATACTTAATTCATTGTGTTTCAGTTCAGTGACTGGATGATAACTCGTCTACTGTACCATCTGACAGTCTTTGATTCAAGTCACACATGAGTTCTTAACTGCAAACTACAGGATATCTCTGCCAAGTAGTCAGAAGTTCCCAAAGTTTCCCTAAGTTATTTTCAAACTATTAATGATATAAATAGCCTTGAGATTTTACAATTTATCGAATTATCTGTCTTTTGAAAAAATTTTATTTATTTTGGTGTATGAACAAACTTCTTCAACAGAAAATATTTTTCAACCACTGAAATAGTCCCGGTAGATGGTGAAAAATTAATAAAAGACAATTCAACAAAGACAATTTTTGTTTTCATGAGTCATTTTCACATGCTGTACAGTCGTAATTATAATTAAAACAATGCATAAATATACATATGTTCACGAATAGCTAATGGATCACGACAAGGTCATCAGAAATGGCCAATAAAGTGGCTCCATGATTATGGATACAAGGTCAGCACAAGGTCATCGAAAAAATTATTTATTGGATTAAACAAATAAACAAATTGAATGTCTTTAAAAGATTCTGACTAAGGTAAAATTAGGTATTTAGCATAAATCTGTTTTCGAACGCAGAGACCAGGCTTGAACCTATGAAATACCAAGACTTCTTGCAGTCATCACATGGAATTCGGCAGATTGTACAAATTTCTTAATAAAACATTGAGGATAATTATTCATTATTAAAACTTCTGCCGCTTGTTTCAACTCCTTATTTAAGATACTTGACTAAAACCTGCCTTGACTGACATTGGATGAGATGACATGAAGTCTAGATACCTGTTAGAATGTGTCGATTTCCTGCAGACAGTTGTATCCAAATCACCGTCTATCCTTCGTTATATTCTGCAGTCGAAAATAACTAATTCTTCTCGTTGATTTTCTACTTCCTAAGGGAACTGCAATGCACCTACTACTGAGTTTATATGTGTGAGGAAATTGTCGATATGTTCCAATTTTCACACAACTGATATAACAATTGAAGAAGTCATAGAACTAATATAATGGTTGATGGAATCATATTAAATGTATAATTGTGCCTGAATTCCACAGTCTTCAAGTGTCAGGAAAAAGTCTACTAGCTATTCTAAGGACTTGAATGAGGAATTGAAACAAGTTAAAGAAACATTAGTAATTAAGAAATTCATACGAATAGATAAGAAACGAAGTAATTACAGTAAAACAAGTAGGAGTAATGACGACAACGCGAGTAGAAAGAAGTTCATAGCCTTATTTGAGTTACCATACAAGGAAAGAACATCAGAAAGTTTGCTTAGAACTCTCAACAAAGGTGACAAATTTAGGTAAGAATCATGCCTAGACACTCAGAAATAAGCCTTGCCAGGTTAAGGTTCAAATGTATGCAATTCAGCAAGCTAATCTAATCTATCAAATTCCATGTAATGACTGTGAGGTCAAGTCCATAGGTCAGACTAGACGGTCGGGGTCAGTTAGAATAGCGGAACATTGAAATTCAGCTAAATGTAGAATGACAGACCCCAATTAAATCAATTATCTAGAAAGTAACTCACCTATGCCAGTGCATACAGTAACATACAACCTCACAAAAGAATGCGATGGAATGGGATGGGATGGGATTGGATGAAACCACTGTACTCAAGTCCAACATAATTGGGTGGAGAGAGAGAGACAGAGCGAGAGAGAGAGAGAGAGACTGACTGATTACTGAATCCTTTCCTTATTCATCGAATCAACTAACATCCAACATATGTGGTGGGAATGAGGCAACACCCATGCATACCAGAGATATGGAGAACTTTACTATCAATGAAAACAGATAATGTCGTGTGATTGATAGGACTATAAAAATGAGATGTTGGAAGTGGTGTGATTACATTGAAATGATTATTGGCAGTGATTATTTATGCTGGAGACATTGTGAGGTAAATAATACTGTATCACCATACACTACATATCAAATAAACAAATGTAATGTGAAATTATCAGATCATAGTTTTCAAGGGTTTAAAGTTAGGAGAGAAGAGCAACTAGACTATTTTTGTTGTTCATTGGAGTTTTCTTTCAGTTACTACCTTCATTTTAGCTTTTTGGATCCAAGGCAAATTAAGATTGTCTTTTTAGAAAGTTAGACAGCAAGCGCCATGGATTGTTTTTGTCTACGCTTAAGTGTACCGTGGTTGATGAATACCTATATCTTAGTATATGCTATGGCTTTCGCATTACATATGAAATTTACGCCAGAGAGAAGATAAAACTTCCCAAACTAATATTGTTTTGATGCTTTGCTAAAAGTGTTATGATTTCAATTAGGAGTGACCATAAAGTTTTTTTAAAATTTCTCCTATACTAGATTATAACGTGATTTCATTTGACGAAGAATCTTTTCCTGAACTGAACACTGGTGATGATAACAAAGGCCACAATAGAACAACTGTCTCCATCGTAGTTAACAAAGATAAACGTAACAGGCTTTTAACAACAATGGACTCTAACAATGTAGCAACTGTTGAAAGTTGTAACTTGTTAGTAGATAATTTGATTAGCTGTAAGAAGGATTATCAGTTAGGTGAGTGGTTGTTTTGTATATTGATTTTGATATACTCATTGTTGAGTTCTCACATACATTGACAGTAAATCGTTCTTCAAGAGTCCAGTCACCTTGTCAACCAATCATTCACTGCCGAACAAAGTCTATCAGCTAGTCTGAGGAAATGATGGAGAATATTTGTTGACCTTGGCGATGGATTTGCTTGTGTTGCTTCTCTGTACTCGACAGTTGGATCGTCAGACTTACATTAAGCTTTCAAATAACATTTTCAACACTAACGTCGATATGAAGTTAGCTGTCAAGATTTCTTCAGGGGTGATATAGTACCCTGTCATGATGAAGTGTTATGTGATTTTTAATTTCCTTTGACTGTTGTGCTATTGGCTACATAGATTTTTTCTAATGACCATTTACCTTTATGGTCTCACAGTTGGTTAAATGGTTGGGTCTTTTGCTACATTTCCATTGGCTACTGACTGACCGGAATATAGAGCTTAGAAGAGTTCCCTGATTCTCTTTGAATTACTTAAAGCTTAATATTCGGGTGGATTTGAAGTCATCACATGAACAAATAAAAACCCAAGTTACTGAAACATTCATGAAAAGTTTTGACAACTAATTTCAAAATGGAAGTTAGCGTTCATAATACTATCCAGAAAGATCATGAATTCCTCATGATTGAAAAATTCAGATGTTCAATATATATTATTATTCATTATTTTATTTTTCCTTTGGGTTCCTAGTGGAACATAGGGCTTCAGTAGCACGCCTTCATTGCAATCCCTTCTCCGCAGTCTTTTCAACCTGGCTCCACCACTGCCCACAAGCTGTGTCATTTCTTCTTCACATCATCTCATTCATGTCACCCTCGCCTCAGAAGCCCAACTAGTTGATTCCCTTTTAGATTCAACTTGACTCATGGGCCTGGCGTGTGATATCTCGAATGACTTTCTCAGTGCATGTTCAATCCATCTCCATTTTATTTCTCTGTATATTTGTTAAGTCATGGGTTGTTGGTTGGTTCCTTCACAGAGTTCCTTGTTGCTTATTCTTTCTCATCATCTGATCTTCAGTAATAGCATAGGTGGCAGCTGTTGACAAATGTCTGCAGTTTGTTAGAAGTGCTTTTCGTGACACTCCAAGTTTCTGAACCATATAGCAGCACTGAACATATTTAGTTATTGCACACTATGTATTAGATATGTGACTTTATTATCACTAAAGAGAATGAAATAGCGAAATACCTATGTGGATACGACACTTTGGTACTTCATGCATTTTAGAGACTTTTGCTTGGGAAAAATAATATTTACTGAGATCGATGTGACTACTTTTTCTACTAACTCAATTCTAAAACCCATAAAGTTTCTGTTCTAGATTGTTTAAATACGAGAAATTAACAGACCGTGGAGTTCATTATTCAACTGGTGATTTGCGTAGATTGACTGATTCGGAAATCCTTTCCATCATAGACTGATATCAGTTGGAAAATCAGTGGAAACTGACAGGACTTAACAACTGTTTCGTTATAGTACAGAAATCCTCATCAGTATACACCGATAACTCCATGAAGGATCGTTTCTAGGACAGTTAGATCTCACTTCAACATGCTGCAATTCAGCTGAGAGTCAGGTAGATACATATTAATGACATATAACAACCTGAACATATCGCGAAATGAAAGAACTGAGAAAATATAAGCCAATGAATTTTCTTCAAGCAGCTAAATGCTAACGTACTTGCTGTATGACCTAACTATCCTCATCTTTATCCGTAGTTGGGTCACTGGTGCTTACTGGAGAAAAATCTCATATTAGAGCGAACTGGCTTCTGAGTGCTGCCAGGTTTCCATCGGCTCACCAGTCGATGTCAGTCCGTGATGAATACTATCTCGCGTCCATCATAGTCAATTACAGGAAGACAAACACAAAAAGGTGGTTTCAAAGAAAAAATCTCTTCAACAAAGTCATTTACTAAGACACACATTTGTGAATATATATTACAGTGCATAGAGCATCCAAGAACTGTTTCCTGTCAGGTGTCAAAATGTTTTGAATAGCGCGGGAAAATTAGGTAATGTAAATGATGGCTTAACGTAGAGAGAGTAAGCAAGGGGATAATGAAGATAAAAACGTTGGTTACGTAATGCATAGGTATTCTGTGACAGTCAAGGCCTTATGACAGCCACGGCACAGAAAAACGTTGAACTTACCTTACTTGGACACAAAACGCTGGTTTGAACTTTTGAATGGCTAGTGGTTCAGGTTACCCAAAATGCCTTGATTTTACTCCCTTCGAGTGGTTCGATAGAACCCTGTAAGAGATTACGAATAAGCTCTGTAAAAGAGCTGAGTGGCTTGAGTTCACAAGGTGTTCTGTTATTGAAGTGAAGATGCATTTTTGTTCTCCCTTTGCTAGCCAGTCTGCGTAGTGTTCATGAGCAACGTTTTACAAGTGCACTCATGGTATGATCGATGTACTCAGCTCCATAGGAACAAGAATACTCATATATACACATTGATCTGGCTCAATGTAGTTCATACAATGACCAAAATGTTTCTTGTAGGAGAAAATGATTCGAAGGTTGGTAGCAAAGTATGTTCCATTTAAGAATCATTTTGGTTGAATTTTGAGGATATTTCCAGCAGTATCATTTTTGAATTCAAGATTCAGCAATGGAATCTCTTTGGGTCTAAATAAGTTTGTTCAATCGTGGTCATTTGCTTCAAGTTCTTATTGACGCATCTAGACGGCAAACTATTTTCAACTGTATCCTCAGTACACATATTTCGAATCCTCCATAAAAGTGAATGAATAAGCTTTCTCTTCCTACTTAGAGGGACCAAAATTTGAAAACTAATAAATTGTCTGTTTCATGTAGGCTTTCTGTACATCATCGTTTCTTTGGAGTGGAATATCAAGAGAGTAGAACCTTGAGTTTGATTCCAGTTCCACAGTGAATCTGAATGAAGATATCATCATTGTATCCTTTTTATAATTGTAGCTGATTAGTTGTTGTTGAAGCAGTTTGCTAGGCGAAGTCCTAATGAAGACTCCAGTGCCAAATCATCTAATCTGTCTGTATATTTCCTTACCAGACAGGAAGTATATATTCCAGGTATATCGAAGAAGGTAAAACTCTTTTAAGCGATGATTTACCATGACATCCAATGAAAACATGCTTTTACGTGTCAAATTTACAATACTAATTGAATCAACGAAATCAGATATGTCAAAGAGATTATAATTCAACAACCTCTTCTTTGCAAGTTTAAGTATTTCCAAGAGCCATTTAGTAATTGAATGATATTGAGAGTTATCTCATATCTATTACACCTCTATATTTATATGCCAAGTCCATAGGTCAGACTAGGCAGTCGGGGTCAGTTAGAATAGCGGAACATTGAAATACAGCTAAATGTAGAATGACAGACCCCAATTAAATCAATTATCTAGAAAGTAACTCACCTATGGCAGTGCATACAGTAACATACAACCACACAAAAGAATGCGATGGAATGGGATGGGATGGGATTGGATGAAACCACTGTACTCAAGTCCAACATAATTGGGTGGAGAGAGAGAGACAGAGCGAGAGAGAGAGAGAGAGACTGACTGATTACTGAATCCTTTCCTTATTCATCGAATCAACTAACATCCAACATATGTGGTGGGAATGAGGCAACACCCATGCATACCAGAGATATGGAGAACTTTACTATCAATGAAAACAGATAATGTCGTGTGATTGATAGGACTATACAAATGAGATGTTGGAAGTGATGTGATTACATTGAAATGATTATTGGCAGTGATTATTTATGCTGGAGACATTGTGAGGTAAATAATACTGTATCACCATACACTACATATCAAATAAGTAAATTTAATATAGAATAACACTGTCAAAGTTCTGCTTTTATAACAGTTATCAAATATGATAATTTGGTGGGTTTTGACTAGCAGAAGAATTCAACTGGACGCGCGTTTCGTCCTATTTGGGACTAGTCAGCTGGATGTACCTACACCCCAGTGATGGTCTTCCCACTGAGGCACGAACCTCGTACCCGTCGCTTCAAACGCCAAAGCATTGTCCACTATACAGTGGAGGAACGATAGCCACTTCTTGTACAATGAGTTATAGTTATTACTATTTATTGATATACTTGTTATTTTCCATTGTTTGTTGTGTTCGATCGAATTGTTCAACCTCTATTGGCATATGGGACCCTATGCGGATGCCTCAATATTGCCTGAATGTTAATTATAATAATTTGGTTGGTTGGTTGTGATTAGCAGAGGAATCCAAGACACACATCTCGTCCCATTTGAAACTCGTAAGGTGGATGTACCTGTACCCTAGTGATGTTTTTCCCAATGAGACTCGAACCTCGAAACCTATCATTTCAAACGCTAAGAGGTTATCCACTAAGCCACAGAGGAACGACTATTTCCATCTATCTATAAACAGTCACTTCGTAGGAAATTATGAAATATTCTAGAATAATCTCGGTAGTGATATCATCTGATCTAAGAGTTTAAAGTGTATTATCATTGTTCTCTAATGAATCCATTCACCTTAAAAATCATATTCATATCATTTATAGTGAGAATTTTGATCATCACCTTTTAAATATTAACTTTAAAACACTTTGCTTAACATTTTTGCTTATTCACATATATAAAATTTTCTAGACAAAAAACCGGAGAATACTCAATCAGTAGTTAAAGCTTCAAAATCGGTTCAGTCTAAAAGATATCCAATGTTTGATAAAAATAATTCTCAACATATTGATACTGAGAATCTTAATTTAAAGGGGAATAATACAAATACTAATAAAGATGATAATGAAGGTGATAATATCTCAGAAATTATTTTCACTTCTTCAGTTGAACAATATATTTCACCATTATTATCATTAAATGGAATTAATTATTCAAGGGAATAGTTTGTACCAGTATTGGAATGATATAATGATTTAGAAAATGGATACAATCGAATTGACAACAAGTTTAAGTCAAGATTAACCGACAAGATAATAATATTCATGAAACCTGAAATATTTGAAAGAAATTTCAATGTAAAAGTACTGAATTTTGATCAATGTTTAAAATTATCATCTATTGTAGTAAAACAGAACAATTGAAACCATAAAGAACTTTTGATTTGTAAACAATTTGTGGTGTAGATTTAATAAATATATATGTCTTTGTTATATGTATCGTTTTCAAACTATTATTATGATTATTTTTCTCTTGGGTTGTTAGTGGAATAAAAAAGGATTCAGTAGCAGGCCTCCATTGTACTCTCTTCTCTGCAGTCTTTTCAAACTGGCTCTACCACTGCCCACAAGATTTCATTTCTTCCTCATATCATCTCATCCATGTCACTCTCACCTCGGACACCCAACTCATCGCTTCTCATCGGGATTTCACTCGAGTTCCTGACCTGATGTGTGATGTTCCCAGTCGACCTTCTCAGTGTATGCCCAATCCATCTCCACTTTCGTCCTCTGCATATTTGTTGGGTGATAGGTTCTTGGTTGGTTCATTCACAGAGTTCCTTGTTGTTGATTCTTTCTGGTCACTTGATCTTCAATATCGAGTGAGCGTAGGTGACAGCTGTTGACGAATGTCTGTAGTTTGTTGGATATGCTTTTCGTGACACGCCAAGTCTTTCAACCATCACATAGAAGCACTGACTTGATATTGGTGTTAAATATCCAGGTCTTGTTCTTTGTAGTGAGTGCGTTAGATCTCCATACTGATTATTTCAGATTAGTGAAAACCTGTCTTGCTGTCTTTTCGATCCTGGCTACTTTGACATCCTCTTCTGTGCCTGTGTCGCTGCCTGTGGTTGAAACCATGCTGCCTGCCTAGGTAGGCGGGTAGGTGAAAGAGAAAACTTACCTTAGGTTTCTCCCATTAGTAGTGATGGTGATTAGTGCTTGCTGTTGATGCTGTTGTTGGTTGGGTATCTTCATCACCTCTGTCTTCTCAATATTCACTTGAAGGAAGTCCCGTCTTCGCTGATCTACCTCTTCTGTCAACCTGTTAGTTTTCGCCTGTAGATATTCGAGTTTGTGCTACAAGACATTATGCATAAATCATGATAGACGAAATCCAAATCTTCTAGGCTCTTTTTATCGGTCCAGCGTATGGCACTTTTCAAACTATGCTTACAGTATTTTATACGTTACAGATTATAATTTCTCGTCGTTGATCGGCCACTTCTGTCGTATAAATTTCTATGTGAGTGCTTCAATATTACAAGTATTTTCAGTTTCAAATCATTGGTTGGACAATGGCTTGCTTTGGAATTACAAGGGTGGGTTTAATCCCACTTAGGACTCCTTAGCTGGAAGGTAGGCAAATCCAGCTGATGTGTTCCAGGTGGGATGAAACGTGGATTTTAGATCCCACTGTTAGCCGATATCCATCATTAATATGCTTACATTAGTTTAGTTTAGGCAGCATACTAATATCCTCTCACTTTATGCTGTTAGTCCAGTGAAGGAGTTATTTCAAACAACTCAACAGTCAATTTTAAATTATGTGACATGTGATATCACCAGTTACTAGCTGCTAGTGTAAACACCACGAGATCATTAGTCGCTTCGAAATTTAGAGCGTTATCCGATAGTCTACTGAATCATGAAAGACAGCTGCTGTTCCACAGTTATCAGTCAGCTTTCAATCTTATCCATAATTTCTTGTTGTTTACCGTATGGATCGAATTGAACAAACCCGAGAGGAACCCTACCACTTAATTGAATACAAATACATTCAGCCGACAAATTCAAGAAAAGATGAAATACGCTTCCTAAATTTTACTGGTAGCCACCACCGAGAAAATCACATCGTGGTGAACTATCAGGCAATGTTTAGGTATTCATTCAACAAGCTTATATGTCGACAGAGATCAATCAATTAGGCTTGACGTAACAAAAAGCGGGAAGGTACTCATATCAATACATCGAACATTCATTTACCTGCAGATTACAGCATGAGTATTTACGGTTTTATAATAAGTAAATTTTATAAATATGTAGATGGACTTGTAGTTAATGAGATATTGAGGAGTGACGTCAACTCACGACAAGCATTTCAGGCATATAGGGTACTTATTTTTGCGAGTGTGTTCTCCTGATAAATTGAGTAATCCTTTCAGTATTGATGATACATTTCATATACATATCTACAATAATGAACATACGGAAATTCTATATCATTCAATTTTTTTTCCCAACGAAGTGCATCTTTATAAAATATGCTTTTCAAGTAGATCGAAATATGTTAGTTGGTTAAAGATGATAGGGAGGAAGCCGTGAAACTAGGTTTCATGCTTGTGTGAGCTTGTTAGTCAACTTAAAGCCTGATTGCCTCCAATCAACTAACATCAATCCAAGTGTACCATGATGTTGAGGTTTTTAGCCTCAAGATGACATTGAAAAGTTGTCATAAGAATCTGGTCAGAACTTTAAACTAGGTAACATGAAACTGGTTCCTTTGCAGAAACCACTCAACAAAAGCTTAAACAATAACACAATGTCATTCATAACTAGGTTTCTTTGAAGTTGTATTTATGAAATCCTGTAGAAGAGAACTTTCCATAAAGCGGAACTTGACAGACCTTTACTCAAGGTTAGTGGAGAGCAATCAGTATAAAACTGTTTAAGGCTTATTGTTGATCAAATTCTTATTATGACGTTTGCAATGTGGCGTTCAAGGAAACTGATAACCTCACCATATGCTAACAGTCTTTTAATAATAATTCGTGAAGATTAGCAGAAAAGTGAATGGTACATAAGACACCGCAGTTAGAGATTTTTTACCTGAGTTACTCAGGCTACAACTGACCTTCAGAGGAATAGTGACTAGATGTTTAAGAATAAAACTACTGGACAGAGTCGCAGATGATGAGAGTTTCAAACTATGAACCTGACTAAATGCCCTTAAAGTTGAAGAACGAAAAGAAGGTTATAGAAATAATTATCCTCTCAGCGAATCACTCTTACAGCTCTATATTCATAAATGTAGACATAAATCAATAGAAGAATATCGCAGAGTACCTGATTAAGCCTACCGTAAAGAAAGTGTTTATACATGTTTCTTCTGAATACACAATTGATATTTGAAGCTGTAAATTGTCAGAGTTTCAGGTATGTGTGTAAACCTCACCTTTTTGAACTATACGGTTGAACTTGCTTAAGAAATTTAAACAAAGTTTCTAGAGAGCTGGAGATGATTTTGTGTTCATGCTTCAGCAATTAGGCTGGATAATGTTTTTGAGATCGTTTTTCTAACGACTGCAGAGTACACCCAACATGCTCAGGAGTTAGTTAACTTGTAGGTATATATTGATGTGACTCAATATGACAACTTGACTTTCATGCACTGGGGAATCACTTGTTGTCATAAGAACAGAAAATGATAGTTTTGCAGCACAGAATACTCTATGTATGGACTTTGGCCTACATTGACGAAGGATGTCTGTGGTTATATCAGCTATAAATCTCAGGTTTATTAGAGGTATTTTCTCCAAATTTGTTTAAATCCTTTGCATAGTATTCTTTCCTTCAATATTTTTTTATCTGTAAATATAGATGGGTAGCCATTCCTTAAAAGTATTTCTCAAAGGTTTTCTAATTCTTGAATAAGTACATCACTACAAGTATATCTTTCATATTCTTGATAAGAGTGAACCCACAAGATTCGTCTTCCTGCAACTCTCTAAGTTCCAGACACTATTTGATACAGAATACCAATAAGCCGACTCAGCTGCGATCAACCTTTTGTGGTAGTGGTTTAGAAAACACAATGAACAGTAATGGAAATTTCACTGTCTAAATCCATAACGCACCAGGCCAGTTGCTTGAGTGGAAGCCAGATGCGAAGCGACGAGTTTGGCGTTCGTAGCAAGGGTGACATGGAGGAAATCTTGAGGGGAAGAAATGAGAGCATGTGGCACTTGTCGAGCCAGGTTCAAAGATTGCAGAGAACACAGTGGAATGGAGGCATCCTACTGAAGCCCTATATTCCACTAGGAACCCAAGGGACAAATAATGATGATAATAATAATAAGTTCAGTGTGTTTCTGTAAAATATGAATCCATTCTATTGGTTTCGGCAGTCCTCATCAGCTGTTTACAAACTTGAATGTCTCGAAAAACAGATAGCAACAAAATAATGGCATACTTTATCTAGTTCAATGATTTCAGTCAAAATGGAACGAGTACATGGAGAAGTCAGAAAACTGTCCGAATTAAAATCAAATCAGATCAAATTATCAGCTATTGATGTCATATCTAGAACACGAAGTATTTACTGAAATAGTTACAATGTTAAAGTAACAAGAAAGGCTTATCTTCTAGAATATCCTACAACTGAGAGTAGCAAGTATCGTCATCAAGCACATACCTTAGAATCCTTGAAATTAATCAACAGACAGAATAGTTCAAATGCTTTACGCTTTACTGAAAGCACCTGTAATCAAAATGGATTAATTTATTCGAAAGGAATCTATCGTCAATCTTCAACCATCGTGGCAGTTTAATTTCCTAACTTTCCACTTATTTGACTACACAATTATCCTGTCATTAGGTTTTTAGTTCACACTAAACGTTTTACTTCGCTATGTCATTATCCGATTTAAACTGTTTTCAATGAGCTAAATTATGTTTTACATTTTATAGTAATTTATCATTGTAAATATTCAAGGTCGTAAACAGCTGATGAGAACAGCCGAAAGGATAGAATACATTCATATTGTTCTGGTGTAGTGATGGTTCTTGCTAGTTTTTAAATAAAGTGACCAGATTTTTATGAGAAAATATAATTTTCATACATTAAAGAAAAAAGCTTTTATCATTCATATAAGAATATTAATTGTCTGGAAACATTTCGTTTGAAGCATAGCCAACTCGTCAACGACGTACTCAGATAAATGCAGTTCTTACAGCCGAATTCCTTCAGATGACTTAATTAACTCCGATAAGGTTAATTAATATAATTGTTTTTATATCATACAGTCGTTGACTGGATCCAGTTAACCGGTCTCTACTGGCATATGGGCTCCTGTGCGGATGCCTCGATATTGCCAGCGTTCTAATTATGTTAATGATGGATCGTGGCTAGCATTGGAATCTAGGATGTACATTTAGTCCTATTTGGGATTCTTCAGCTAGATGTATTTGCTTCCCAGTGAGTTATATT